CAATTATTATTATTAAATTATAATATCAAAAGTCCTTATTCCAGCACTCGTCTGTGTAGATCCAGTCTGAGGATACCTCAGTTTCTCACCCTGTAGTCATCTATCCCCCACCTCACTCACCTTGTAGTGCTGCAGTGTGTTGAGACGCTTCCAGTTGCCCTGAACAACGGAAGTAAGGTCTTCATCCGAGAGGATCAGGTGGCCCGCCACCCCCGACCTCCATTCTGGGACCAAGACAAGAAAAAAAAGAACACATGGATTAAAGAGAAATGCAACAGCTGTTTACAACAAAGTGCTTTATAGGGGCAGTGTGCACCAAGCCCAATCTGTGGAACTCACCCAGATCCAGGGAGTCTGTGTGTGGCCGGTGGGAATACGAAGTCCCCTTGTACACCTGATCCAGGATCTTCTCCTTGACTTGAGTGATGGTGTCGCAGTCTAGGACTTTGGATTGCACAGGCTGGGCATCGTTCCCTCCTCCCTGCATCAGGACGTTCAAGGTCTGCAAAAAAAAAAAACATGGTTTAGGTTCACCCTCTCTGGTTAGAAGTTTCCATTAATTTGGAGTTACAATAAACGGTAGAAAAACTTTTGTCTATGGTCATAGCATTGCTATTCTAACTACAGTGGGGGCACGTATAACTAATTTCAATTGAAGGGCTAATTGTGGCTTAAAACTGCATTAGCTGTGAACACTCTAGTGGCTATGATGTGTGCCATTATGTTTTTAAAAATGAATGCAGCGCCAAGCTAGTCAAACCCCTCTAGTGCACTCCGAAACCCAAATGTTAAGAGTGCTGAAAGCACCAATATCCTTACCAATGTGCGGTACTCCACATCCTCTCTGAGAAGCCGGTTATCATTCAGGGTGTATTTGGCTTTGCCAGTGACAGCATCCACTGGTCCTTTGTCTACTTGGTGCTTTATTGCCCTGAACAGCATGTATAGAGACTCCCCAGCTGAGTCCTAGAATCATAGTGCAGGAAAATGGCAAATAATTACGAAATTAAATGATTAGAAATAAACACTCCATTATCTCTCTGGATAGAACTGGCCTGCCTGGACTTGTTATGAGCCTTTAATGGATCAAGAGAGACCAGCAGTAATCTTCAAAAGCACTTGAAAGAAAACGTCTGTCTGGCCCTGTGATGACCTGGCATCCCCATACAGAATGTAGATCAGTCTTGCACTCTGCTTCAGGTTGGCACAAGCCTTACTGGGAAAATGTGTTATTTTATGATACATTTTTGTGTTCTTTCCTGGATTACTTTGATGTTATTTTCCATATTTTAATTTAATTCCCAGAGCGCATGGTCAGTCTGGACTCTCATCTGAAAAAAATCCCATTGAAACTGGGAGCTTTCCATCAATTTGCAGTTTTAAAAACAAAACGTTTTTTTACAAGCAGCAGACTGAGAATAGAGACAGTTTACTTTGATTACACCTGGACAACAGTGCAAAAACTCCTCATGGCTGCTTAAGCGGTCTGCAAATCAGACCGCAAACAAACATTTTCTTCAGATATATAGAGTTATAATTTTTTACCCTCAGGAAAGCATACAGACAGATGGACATCCAGTTCGTCAGAAGTTTCTCCACCACTGTCTCTGTCCTGAAATATAGCAGTATACCATTTATCCACAGTAACTATAAAAATACTAATAGAAACTATAGAAAGAACAACAATATGTATGACCAGTAAGTACAGATAAACATTTAAAATTACTGCACTAACCCATGGTTTTACAACAGCAACTACAACTTTCAAAATTGCAAGTCTTTCATACTACCCAAATATTTATAAAATACCCCATATATGAGGTCAATGCAAGTGGAAAATAAACAGCAACATTTTCACAGATATCCATGGAGGCATGGAACCACTCAGCCAACAGTAAGAGCAGCTCAGCAGGTTCTTTTGTTTCCTAATTGTGTTCTCGTATCAACCCCCGGGGCTGTCTGTATTGACAAATTAGCCAGATCTGTTGCTGCCTACAGTAATGCCATAGAGGCATGTGAACAAAAAGAGTTAGTTTTCTTACCCCTAATGCAGCATACTGAAGAGAAGGCCTAGTCTGCTAGTGCCTCACAGTATCTCTAAATACATGTTCTAGGCCATTATCACTACAGGACAGGAAGATATTTCTCTAATATTCTGATAGAGTGGCTCACAGTAATGTAGTAATGTAGCTGCTTTATATTTGATATATATATATATGATATAAATATATCATGATATATTTGAGTAAATATCATGATAGTAAAACTGCAGTAAAACAAAAAATGCAATGAAAAGCTGTTACAAGTTTTTTCCCTTAGGATTCCTTTTAAAGACCCTCACCTTCTCAGCATGAGCTTGGGGTTCTTGGCCACATACTGCTCCACCAGGTCATTGAGCAGGGTCTTCAGAATGTCTGTGAAGTACTCAAGCTTGCCGTGAAGCGAGACGGTGAGGAGAGATGCCACATAGGCCCGATCTCGAGGAGAGAAGGTGCGCTGACTCTCCAGGGTGTGGATAAACTGCGAAGGAACCATCCAGAACTTCAGGACAGGGGGAGAGGGATGTGCCAGCTGAAGAAGTTATTACGCTGACTAAACATCAAACGGCACCTTTGTCAAATCGTGTAAAACGGTGAAAGGGAAGTTTCTAACAGTGCCTGCCCCACCTGGGGAAACTGGAAAAACCTTTGCCTGAGGGTCTTTAGATTTTTTTAATCCATTAATTTCAGAGAAGGACTACAATGTTGCATAAAACTGAAGAGAAAGAGGTCTGGTACAGATAGGGTACTGACTTGTACGGCTAAGGAAAAAAAAACACTTAGGCACAGGAGCCACGGAGCTACTGAAAGGATGGGGATGGGGGGAAGGAAGGAATGGTAAGAGAAAAGTGAGAGATAGCTGAGTGTGTTACCAGTATCTATACATAATCAAGGAAGGTAAAGATTTTGTCTTCGCTCTCCATCTTTAGTTTTAGGACACCACGAAGAGCAATGAAAGCATCAGTGTACGCACATTTAAAACCTTGAAGGTTCTGGTGGCCTAAACATGGTTGAACTGGTTACCTTGGTGAGGAAGAGCTTGCTGTTGAGCAGGTTGGAAAGCTGCACCAAGCCCTGCTCTACTGTCTGCCTGCGACACTCCTGGACATCCAGGTCCCTGTGAAGGGGAGATTCCCGGTGGCCAGGGAAGAAGATCCGCTCGGCATACATGCGGTAGTCCAGAAAAGGTATTCCTGAGCCCACCAGGTCACTGGACATGTCCATCATTTCGGTCATGAGATCTGAGAGGAAGAAGGGATCGGTTTACACCTCTTTTTAAATCAAATCACCTGACATAACTGGTAGGACTAAAATGTTTGCTGTTGAAATAATGCTGGTGACATTTCTCCATTTCTTTCCTTAGTAGTGGAAAAATAAGCAAATGTAGTAAAAAAAAGAGAAATACAAATCATGGAGCACATTTGGTAATTTTGTGGTACATTTATATGGATAAATTGTGGAAGTTGAAAGCAAAGTAGATGCAAAGCAGAACAGAAGAACAATGTAAAACACCTACAATATCCAAATTTAATTTCCCATTTCTGAATGTTCTTTCTCTAAATGATGCGAAGAGGGCCATATTCATAGAAAACATTGCTTATTTTGCCCTATTTGTTTAAAAAACAATCACCTGTATAGGTAAAATAGAAACAAAGAAACCACTGTTTTAAACCAGGAACCAGGTCTGAAAAAATGAGACATTTTCCACTGATAAAAGTAATAAATTGGTAAAGTGCTAAAAGATTACAGATGGATGGATGGATTTTTGTATGTGGGGAGTATCAATCACTACAGTGACTTTACAGAACTATAGTGTTGATAAATTTGGGATGCACGTTTTACTGCACACGGGCAGTGATTTTTAATCTCTAAAAAGAATTAACATTGAATTTACAAATTCACATCTTTTAAATTGCAACTTTAAGTTCCTTTCTTGTCCCAAAGCACCTCAGTGAAAATGGATTCATATGGTCATCCTAGCAAGAGATAATTCAGTTAGGAAATCACTTTTTACTTTTAGATTGAATTTTGTAGGAGGACACAGAAGTTGTTGAACAGGGTAGGAAGTTTACATACTGTATCGTTTAAAAGCATAACCCTTTTTTTTACCTGTGAATTCCTTCTTGCAGCGATCCCGCACACTGGTCTCCAGATTTTCCAGTTGGATCTGAACCTTCTTGTAGTCCCTCAGAGCTTGTTTACTCTTCCTCCTGTCAAAAGAGAGATTCTTCACATCTTCAGAAGGCAAGCTCTTTCACCTGAATCTGTGTGACCTCAACAAATCCAAGTTCTGTCTCCTTAGATCCCTGACCGCATAAGACCTGAGACAGTAGCTAAATTATAGCTTAACTGAACCAATGAAACCCACCTGCTTGGGTCTGGAGCTGCCGATAATTAGCAGAACATTTTCATTTGAAGTCTACAGATTGTAGTGATCAAATAACATCAACAAAAGATGGCAATAGCTTTCATGTCTTAGAAAGAAGCAACAAGATTTAAAGTAGTATCCTTTCAACAGGTACAAAACAAATATAAACCACCTTAGCTTAACTGTAGCACCTTTTCGGTAAAGTAAAATCCATACATTTAAACAAACAGCTCATAATACAATTTTAGGATTAAAAATGGTGAATAATATTGGTGACAAGGTTTACACCTGCAGATGGAGGTTACTTTGCAAGAATAATCAACAGCATTTACAGTTTACAAAAAAAGAGTATTAAGGATTTAAGGGGATTCTAACCTGTATATCAGGACGATAATAAGAACTATGAGTGCTACAATGGAGGCTCCCACTCCTACACCAATCTGGGCTTCTAGAGGGAACGTAGATTGGCTCAGAGTTTCGTACTGCACCTTTCCCAGGGAGAAATTCAGATTGCCCATCTGCACCTGTAAGGAATGAAACATTAAAATGCGTACTTAGGTTGTTACTCTTTTCAAATGGATATACAGTATAAGGACGTGTGGGCTGGAAATACCCTAATCAGTGCAATTGCTCCTCTAGGTGTTCATGCTACCTCACATATTCTTTCACAAAATGGACATTATTACCAATTCCGTTTTTCAAAATGTCTGATTTACTAGTGAATATATAACGATGCACAATGGAACAGTAGTAGTCTGGATGGGATGGTCAAGCCAGGATGAGCCTGGGGAAAGACCCACTTACCACAAACTCGGGTAGAGATTCAGCCCCCTCCCTCTTTTTGCCACGGAGTGGTGAAGGCTGCTGGGAAGGAGGCTCGCAGTATAAATGGTTCCTGGTCAAGGTCTTCACAGTGCACACGCCCTCTCCAATCAGGGCTATAACCTCTTCCTTATAAATCGCCAGATCCAGATTCTCACCCTTTGAGAAAAACCAAGGAAGGGGGTCATGAGGTCTTTATTAAACCAAAATCCTGCTAATTCTACAGTTCTAATTATCTGATCAACAACGAAAATCCAACAATTCTTGACATCAAGAAATCTTAACACAGTGGCTCTGTGGCTAAGTATCTGCGCCTGTGGCTGGAAGGTTGCCAGTTCAAATCCCGCGGCTGGCAGAGGAATCCTTCTCCGTTGGGCCCCTGAGCAAGGCCCTTAACCCCAACTGCACCAGGGGTGCCGTATAAATGGCTGACCCTGCACTCTGACCCCAAGCTTCTCTCCCTGTCTGTGTGTCTCATGGAGAGCAAGTTGGGGTATGCGAAAAGACAAATTCCTAATACAAGAAATTATATATGGCCAATAAAGTAATCTTTTAGGAACTGAAAACAACATCTTTTTATAAAGTTATTCCTTGACCAGGTATGAGTAACACCCACACTAGATGAAATTTGTCCCTTTTCTTTCAGGTGTATAATTCAACAGTGCCGTAAAAAAAAACAACAAACAAAGTCAAAGTGGACGTTTGATGAGGTGAGGACTCGCTACAGCACAGCCTACCTCAACAGAAATGATGCTGCCCGGCTTGTACCGGTAGGGCTTGCTGGGGTCGTTCCTGTTGAGCTTCTGGAGGATCGGGTTCAACTCATAGAAGAAGGCACTTTGGCTGACGTCATTGAAATTGAAGCACAGATTGTCCATGAGGAACTCCATTTTGATATGAGCGTTGCGCAAGGGGGGGTCGATCGCCGGGGTCTTGCACAGGATTAAGGAGGTGGTGTTGACTTCGCACTGCTCGACGTACTGCGGGAGCAACAGAATGAAACAGTACTGCAACCTCCCCTTTCCACCCCTCTCAGCTAAATTTCTCCTGACCCACATGGGGCCACATCTTCCACCTCAGAAGAAGCACCATTGTTGCAGTATGGAAACTTTTCAATGCCAATGTTTTCCTTATGAAGATTTAAAGATTTAGTCGAAAAGATTTAAAAAAGCGATGTGCTTTGATGTTACCAGTCCTGCAGTAATTAGTGCTCTTTTAACGTATTGTATAGTTTTATTACATTATCCTTATTTGGAATGAAGTGTTGCAACACAATGGGGAATGGGGAAAACACTGCCAGTAAAGGAGCAGGATACCTGTGATCATGGGAATGATAAATGTCTCTGTGCATTATCTATAGGACACTTCCTTCACATTATCTATAGGAATCTGAAGTACACTCACTTGTTTTACGGAGCAGAGAGCATCTCCAGGGCATTCTGGCTCGGGTACAATACGCCGATGTCGCCATAGCAACCTGTCTCGGATTCCCACAGCCCGTTTCCTCCTCCTCCTCCGCTGTTGCACAGGAGACACGGTCACCTGGATTTTGGGATTCTCCACCACATCCAGATTATGTCCCGTTACCCGGATAATTCGTCCTCCGCTGAGAAGAGAAGAGTAATACTCAAGGGTAAATGTCTGGTAGAAGTTATCT